TAAAAATGCCTCTTTAAGATGATGTTGACCTACCCCATAGGCAGACACAAGCAACCACTGAAAGCCATCCTGTTTATTTCTCAATTTCAATTTTACAAAGAAATATCCTTCTTCTATCTCATCAATGTCGAACTCTAGAAGGTTTATGCCTACTAGCATGCTACCAGATCTTCCCCGAGGAGGTTTACAGTGCCATAAAAAGTCCTTGCCACCACACAAATTTTTCAGAAAATTTGGTGAGTAGTCTGTCCTACCGGTCTCTGATAAAACAACAAAACCTAGCACCTTTTCCCGCACCAAATCAGACACAAATCTATGTTTTTTTGGGTCACCTAACCCATTACAATTCCAAAATATGCCCTTCATTTGTTAAACTAAAGGTTGTCTTTTGATTTTCTCTTGCCTAATTTCTTTTTCTTTTTTGAACTTGATTTATTTTTTCGGGGCACCGCCTGTAGATCATATAGATCACTGGCTTCCCCTTCACTCATACCCTTGGCTATCTCACCACAAAGCTGGTTAATAGCTAAGAGATCAAGTTCATCCTCGGAATCTGTTAAGTTACAATCCAATTGTTTGCTACTAGCATGTAGTTCCTTTTGTTTAGGCAACACATGCAGTCTGCTTCTTTCCACATGTTTAAGGTTGTTAATCGATTTACTAACACTAGTATCATCTGAACCTAACAAAACCCCCACCTTATTGATGTTATGAGCAACTACATCTTTAGAGAATGAAAGAAAAGATGCGTTTAAAATGTTACCTGAATTATTAGGTTACTCCAAATTTTTGCATGCCTTTAGCTTGGCCGCTCTCTCAGTCGAGTCTTGGTCTCCTATCGCCACATTGCGCTTGCTCCTATGGGTAGGCGTGGTATTCTCAGCAGGGATTTGTGCAGGGGGTTCTGAATTTAAAGGCCCATGGAAGGATTTAGCTACCCAAGCCTTGGTCGAGTCAGATAACCCAGTGGACTTCAGCTCCAAAATGGGCCATGACAGAACAGCAGCCTGTGTCCCTTTGTTTGAATTTTTTGCCGCTGGTGGAGCAGAAGAACTCCCATCTTTCTTATCTTTCTTTTTGTTCTCCTTGTTGGAGTCCGATTCCTTAGTATTAGGTCATGAATCTTTGTTGAGTTTGTCCAAACCATCATCTTTTTTTGTCGGATTCACCTGGCTGATTATCCATGTCAATTAGTCTTGGGTCATTTTCCTCCTCTTCTGTTTCTAGCCTGAATTGGAGTTCATACACAAATTCTCCGATTACAACGTCAACTAAATCCGGAATTAGTTCTGGACTTAGTACAGCTACTCTTAGCCTTGGTCTTCCAAATCACTTGGTAAATTTCATGTCACCATCTTTGTGGCACCAAGAATAGTACCCACGCAGCCCAGATGATACGAAAATTCCGTAAGTCACTCGGGAGACCACGGAACTGTACCCAAACTTTAGGAATTTCATACTTGTACACCTCTGCATCTTTTTTCTTTGAAATAGTCAATTTTGCTTTTGCACTCCTTGCTTCCACAGGACCCCAATCATCCATCCATTTTAACTCAGCACTAGATGGAAAAGTTGTGGCAAAGGAGTTTTCATTAATTTCTTCCACAACCCATTTCCATCCTGGTACGAGTCTCTCAAGCTCTACTATGACTTGTTTCACAGTAAGAGAACCATCAGAGATGTTCACTATTGCTTCTGTAGGCTCAATTTTTGCCTTTTGGTTACCTGAAAAAGGGATATAATAAAAACCCAAACCTGGAACTGCATAACCACATAGCTCTGCTGTAGGTTTTGCACCCTTCATGGAAGGGCAAGCTTTGGTGATGTGGGTATCACCACTATCACACATGTCACAGCAGATTGGTGTTTTGCAGTCATTCATTACGTGCCCTTTAGTTAGGCAACCAAAGCAAAAGGGTTTATTCTTTCAACTCCCTTTCTTTGGAGCAATAGCACCTGATTCATTGTCAATTTGCATAGCTGCAACATCTGCATTTTCAAATACCCCGTCTCCTGCATTTTCCCCTGCTTGAATAATACCAGAACCTATAACCCCTATGCTAGTACCTGGGAGAAAATTAGCCTTGGCCGTCGCCTCATGTTGAACTTGTTGGGGTTGGGTTGGTGCAGCCTCCTGCACAACAACGTTGCTAGTATCAGCATGGCCAGAGCCCATTGATGTAGCCTCGTACGCGTCGAAGCCTCCTTGATAGCCCCGGCTACCGCCGAAGCCAGAAGCGTTGTTGTTGCCGTAGCCGTGGCTGCCATAGCCACCACCGAAACCTCCATGGCCTCTCCTCCCCGGCGACCACCACCAAAACCTCCACGGTGCGCATTGTATCCTCGGCCACCAAAACCGCCATACTGGAAGCCACCAGCTTGATAGCCACCACCACGGCCACCGTACCCCGGATTAAACCCCGGGTTAAAACTGGGATTAAAACGTTGGGATTGGCCACCGTGGTAGCCCTAAGAGTACGTCGCCTGCTGGTGAGTTCCTGGTGGAGCATGGTGTGGCTGCTGGTTTTGGTTCAATGCCGGTTGGGCACCAAGTGGTTGTCCGTCGCGTCCAGCCATTGCCAGAGGACGGAACGAACGCACGACGTGAGCGTAAGAATGAGATGGGCGAGTATACGATTGGCGGCTAGAATTAGGGTACCGTATTCTGGTTCCAGTGCGTGAGAAGAGATCAATCAGACCCTTCACAGGCCGGTACCACTTCCCAGGCCCAATACATACCAAATCTCGGGCGAGACTTTGTTCCAAATTTGATTTTGAATTTCCCAACGTAATTCTCAAAGACACCGTCCGTCCGTGTTGCCAAATCGACAATGGACGGTAATTTTGAGATCACGCGTGAACCAATCGACGAATCGGTAGCTCGGCTACCAACGCCGTTGATGAATGACGAGAGCCACTCCTACAAGGTGAGGATTTGCTTCTCCGAGCAAACCTCCGGTCGTCTCAAGAGTCCGTGGGGAGAAACCCTTGAGGCAAAGAATCGACCTCGCCATCGAGTAGGCTTCACGCGATGTTGCACCAACGCAGATATGATACGTTTACGCCAATGGCGGTGTACATCCGAAGAAGATGTAGCACTTACCGTAGTACCTTTGTTGAGTTCATGTTCACTTTGGGTAGATCCTGTGTAAAGAAGCCGACCTCCGCCGCCACCGCGATAAGCTCTGGTGTGGATGGACTCCAAACCTCTGCAGGAGCCGCAAAAGGATGTGGCGTGGATGGGTTCCCTTCTTCTACAATGATCTCCTCATCGACTTTCTCATCTGATTCATCCGAATCCATGTTTCCACGCCAGAACTTGGAGGATGGAAACTCCATCCCGTGGTTTGCCGGTGGCTTAGACCAGATCGCTGCCACGGATTCCACAATTGCAGCTAGTTCTGCCCTTGCACTTGTGTAATCCGCATCCAAGAGGCTGTCCTTGATGACGCTCGATGAGGGCAGCCAAGGCCTTAGCTTTGCCTTGATCAACGGAGCTAAGGTCAGTCGCCGCCTCATGCATCGCTGTCCCACATCACTTTTTTAGTCCAAAGTCCCTGAGAGTCAATAGGCCCGTAGAGATACGTTTAGGCAGTGAGATCAGTACGTATACAGCGCAACCGAATTTTCGCAGATGGGAAATATTTGGCATATTTCCACGTACTAATTGCAATGGGGAGACAACATGATATGCAGTTGGTCGCAATTGAATTAAATCAGCAACGTGTAAGACTGCATGACCCTAATATGAACTTCTCGGGAGCCACACATTCGGGACTGTGTGGCAACACCGGTATGTTTCGCCCTTAATTACTCGTAAACTTTCTTTTCTTGTGAATTATAGAGTCAAATTGACTGACACGTCTCGGAAGAAGTGCGCAGGATCGACCACCCTGCGCTGAAGATAGGTGGATCTCCAGCTCCATCGAGCGGACTCTTCTAGCTTGCTCGTGTATTCTCGGCACGGGACGAAATTCCATGTCGACAATTACAAAATATAATTTTGACGAGAGATTTTCCAGGACTCACAGGCGGGTGCGGTGGGATTCCAATTCCCTGGAAAGATGGAAACCATTTGAATCCTCTGAATGAACTTGCTTGGAAAAGTTCAGAACTCTGTGTCCGTCCCTCTACTGCAATCAGACACGGATCGAATTGTTCCAAACTGAAAGCTTTTGTTCTGTATCAGCAGCACTGACTGAATGAATCAAATTGGGAGAAAAAAGGCACTTGTTCTTGCAACGCTCGGGAGCAGGCGAGGGCCGCACCCAGATCTGCAGGCGGCAGGAGAGGCAGACGGCCTGATTAGCAATCAGGTGGAAACGGATGGTGGCCTGCCGGCCGAATCGAGCAGCAACCAAACCTGGGGATGAGGATGGAGATGGGGATGGATGGAGCAGGACGAAGAGGGAGGAGGAAGAGGAGGAAGGGGGATGGCAGTACGACGAGCTTACCTGCGGGAGCAGGGGAGAGGGGAGCAGAAAGAACAGCGGCCGGCGGGAGCAGAGCAGCAGCCCAGCGCGGAGGGGAGCGGTCGGCGGGAGCAGAGCAGCAGCACCTGCACGGCGTGGAGGAGAGCGGCCAGCGGGGAGCAGGAGCCCGCGCGCGGAGGGGAGCGGCCGACGGGAGCAGTAGTCCGCGCGCGGAGGGGGAGCGGGGTTTGCTGGGCCGGCCCGTCGCGGCCTGGTGTCGCGCGCTGTAGTTGCAGCGCGACCGGTCGCTTAAAAAAGTTTCCGATCAGGCAGGCATGGTGCAAAAACCGATAGAAAACAAAGTGGAACACATGATGCGATCATTAATAAATGCCTAAACATCTGCATCGGCCACACCCCTACCCCTGCCGCCCTTTTCATGTGACGACGAGACCAAGTGGTGGGTGGGCGTGGTCTCCGGCGACGGCAGAATCTTTTCTATATTTGACTGTTCCCGTCCGCTGCAGGTGGTATTACCTGTGGCCGTTCAACACTGCCCTCCTGCGTCCCGGCGATGCGGCGTGGACAATGGTGCGTAAAGAGTACCACGGCATATCCTCCATAAACAGCTGCATTGCCCATCACGATGAGAAGATCGTCATACACAACGGTTACGCGTCTTCGTCCTGCATCGAGACGAGGCAGGTCCACTGGTGGGAGGAGTGGGTTACCGATACCCCATTGCCATCTGAATATGGCAAAGCATTGCAGTCCAGATACCTCTTGGAGTCTCGAGGCGAGCTTCTTCTGGCAAATGTCCTAGCCAATCATACGCACGGTTACCGCTATACCGTGGGCAGCTTTGTCGACGGGCTGTCGGTTTCAGTCCACGTGCTGCAGCAGGCAGAAGGCGGAGAAACACAGTGGGTGAAGAGGGACGGCCGGAGCTTGGCTGATCGCGTCATGTTCCTTGGGAGGCCAAGCAGCTTTGCTGTGGATGCCGCACGGTTTGGCGTGAGCAGTGGTGGCTGCGCCTATTTCGTCATGAAGAGCGAGCTCTATGGGGGGATCTGGAGCAAGATGGCCATCAAGCAGTGCCGTGTGTTCAAGTACAGCTTCCAGGACGATAGGTCGGAATTCGTCGAGCAGCTCCCGGCTGAATGGGACGACGACGCCTGCATGTGGGTCACGCCACCACAACCTTCCATCGCTTCAACTGAGGTAATCAAGTGCAAATCTTAGCTTGCACGATCTCATCTTTAACTATTTATACTGAATTTGTAGTGTTTCTAGAAGAACAACAGTATCATCGTATCTGTTTATCATATCATATATTCTCCTTATCCAAGCATTTATTAGTAACATTCATTTGCATGCAGGAAATTAGAGAGAGGCTTGAGCCTTCACACACAAATGCTGCAGGAGGGCCACGATTCGGGCCTTATTTCAGGATTTATGTGGGCAATCTGCCACGGAATGTGGATAGCTATCGATTGGGACAGTTCTTCAGCAAGTATGGCAAAGTAGCAGAAGCAAGGGTCATGTACCACATAAAAACCAAGCGTTCACGAGGGTTCGGGTTTGTTACCATGGCGACCCTAGTCGATCATGAGCAGGAACAAGCTATTGCTAAGCTGAATGGACAGGTACAGATTTATTGGTGCTTACTTAATGTTTTAATAGCTAATTAGCCAATCGATGCATGATAACTGTTCATGTTGGATCAATTTTTCAGATTTTGGATGGGCGTCCCGTGCGTGTGAAGCTTGCAGATCAGAAGCAGCCACATGCATGTAGCTTGCTGGTCTAGATAGTTATGTTTAATAATGTCCTGCAATCAGCATTCTTGTAATAATCACCAATGTGTATGTATTGTGCAAAACATCTCCTTTTATTGGATCTGTGACATTGAAACATCTCAATTTTAGAAATATACCATCAAACAATTTTAATTCACTTCAATACCACCAAAATTCCAGGGCTGTTTAATAATAAATATGCCAGTCGGTTACCTTGTCTACCAACCCAGTGGCATCACAGTCCTGCCATTTTATTTTAAGTGACAGTCGATGAGTGCTTCAATCTTCCTCCGTGCAGCCTGTTTTCCTGATAGCTGTTAGCGGCACATGACATGGTCACCTCAACACAACCCTCAAGGTTTGTCTCTTACACCACACCATGCCCGCTTCACAGCACTCTACTCCTTTCCCTATATCTTTTTATGGGTGTTGTCTCAGCCCTCTTCCGCTCGGTTGGCCCAGGAAGTGCAGATCTGCCCTTGGATTAGTTCATCCTTATAGGGGCAACAAAAACCAAATATTTGTTGTTACTTCAATCCGATTCGTCCCCTACTATTTCTGCGATTTGATATTGCTAGGTGGAATTGCTAGGTTGCCCTTTTTTTGGTTTGTGTTACAATTCAGCGGGGTCTGTGCAGCATAAGGTGGAGAGAGATGAGCTGCAAAATTGGACATATCGATGCAGGTTTCGGGCAGAGGCACGCTATGGTGCGGCCTTATTATGCAGCATCTGGTGGATCTGAGCTAGGGTGTCACAGGTTTTTGTTGAGGCGGCCTGTGCTGTGGCTCTGACCTTTTTTTTTGCAATTTATCCCTTTTTCGAAGAAAATTTACGTGTAACCCCCTGGGCGACGTAAACTGATCTTTGGACTCTAGGGGTCGGCGCCGTGGCCTACGGCGCCGAGGTAACACGTCTCGGCGCCGTAGATCTTGGCGCCGAGATGCCTGGCTAGAAAAAACGCGGCATCCAAGTGGCGCTGACGTGGCAGGTAGGTCGGCGTCACCGATCTTGGCGCCGACCTCGGAGCCACAGATCTTGCGCCGAGGTCTTATACCTATACCGCGAGCCGTCTTCTTCTTCCTCCTCTCCACTCCGACCGCCGCCTCCCACGCCTTCTCTCTCTTTCACTCTATTTTCCGGCCGCCGCCCGCGCCACCGCCTCCGGCCACCCGCTCCACCACCTCCGGCCGGCAGCACCACCGCAGCAGTCCGCGGCACCAGCTCCGAGGAGCTCCGCGCCCTTCTCCGCTCCCTGGGCCGCCCTCGTCGCCCCATCATCCTCCTCCGCGTGCACCGGCGGCGAGTGCGGCCTCCGCCTCTCCCGGGCGTCCGCGCCGACTGGCAGGCCGCCAGTGGCCGCGCCTGGCAGCCTCAGGTATGTTTTTTTAATTTTAGTTTTACAATTTAGTTAGTTTAGTTAGCTAATTTAGTTATATAGTGATGTAATTTAGTTAGTTAATTTAGGTATTTAGTGAGACAATTTAGTTATGTAGAGGTGATATATTTAGGTAATTTGGATAGATTCTTTGGTTGTTAGTTATTTATATACTTTTGTTGGTAGTTAATTTAGTTATTTAGTTTATTTGTAAGTTAGATAGTTAGGTAATTAAGTTATATATAGGTAGTACTTGTAATAACTGTAGTTAGTAAAATTAGTTATATAGTTAGATAGATAGCTAGGTAGTTTAGATACTTATTTATTTAGGTAGACAGTGGGATACTGAATTATATATGTAATTTAGTTATACCCTTATTAGTTAAACCCGTGGTAACTTTGATGTTGTGCATACCAACTAGATGGACAACGTAGTCACCCTATATCATAGAGGAAGTGTGGAGGAAGATGAGTTTGGGAATGTCAGTTTTATTGGAATGCAAAGGGTGCCTCTCATGTTCGATGATCGGCCGTTGTTTTCTGAGTTGTTTGGTTGTGCTCATGATGAGCTTCATTGCAATTCAAATGAGGATGTCATCTCAGTTGAGGGGGTACTTCACTATGGTAAATCAGGCCATATTTTTAGGCAGTTGGTCCCAATTGCATCAGAGCCTCAATTGGACAAATATGTCAAAACTGTCATGAAGAATGAGTTTCAATGTTTGGATTTGGTTGTGCGGAAGTTGTCCAATGATCTCACCCCCAAATGGGTATTCACCCCCTAATGGGCATTCACCCCCTCGTGGGTTCTCTCCAGAACTGGGGAATCCGGCACCTTCTGACCCTCCGTTACCCTACCTCGAGGTGGATGTTGAAGATGTGGTTCTGGTGCCCGATGCTCAATTCGCCCCGAATGAGGTTGGAGTATATCCCAATGTTCATGCAGAATGTCGATCCGATGATGGAGTTGCTGCCCCTCAGGAGACCCCTTTGACCCAGAATCATCCAAGTAAGTGACGTAGTAACACTTTCGCCTTCGTTATTCTTCTTTCATTCCATTCCTTTGTCTCAATTGTATCCATATTTGTGCTTTATATGCACGAGACAATCCTGATAATGATGGTTGTCCTCCTGTGCCTCCATCAACCAATGTAGACCCAGGGTTTATAGCCTCTAACCGTGTGGACGTTAATGTTGTGGATGATGAGGATCCTTATGGCACAGCAAGAGTCATTGATTCTGATGATGACCGCCCAGTTGCACCTTTGAGCGAACAAGAAATAGAGCTCAGCAGGCGTTTGTGTCCTGATCATGATCCACTAGTTCATGAATTCAACAACCTCAGTCATTCTCAACATGCTTATGGAGAAGGAAGAGATGACGAACTGCTAGAGGCTCCTAAGGCTGGTGACAGCATGGAAATTCAGAATGGCATGGTCTTCAAGGACTTGCCCACCTTGAGAAGGTGGTTACAGGAATATTCTGTGAGACATAAAAGACCATTCAAGGTGAGGCACTCCTATGTGGAGCGCCGTTACACAGTGGTGTGCGAGAATGCAGCTTGCAATTGGAGGGTATGTGCTCGGAAACAGAAGGCCACAATGAAGTTCAAGATAACCAAAATTGTAGGTCCACACACTTGTGCCAAGAAAGATCTAAATCAGAAGCATCGACAGTTGACCTCTACCCTCATTGCCAGAAGGTTGTATACAACATTGAAGGGTCAGCCCAACTTGAAGGTCAGGACAATTATGGAGATGACTAAGGAGATATTTAAGTATGACATAAAGTATGGGAAAGCATGGAGGGCAAAGCAACGGGCCTAGAAGATGATATATGGGGACTGGGAGGAGGGGTACGAGTAGTTGCCTACAATGTTCAATGCAATGAAAGCAGCAAATCTAGGCATGCATTACGAGTACATCCCGAAGCGAATGAATGGAAGGACGGGAGGAAGATATTCTTCCGTGCATTCTGGTGCTTTCCTCAGTACGTCGAGGCCTTTAGGCACTATCGTCCAGTGTTATCCATTGATGGTACTTTTCTGCTTGGCAAGTACATGGGCACACTATTGGTAGCCATTTCCTATGACGCAGACAATGCATTGGTTCCTTTGGCTTTTGCTTTGGTGGAGAGGGAGAACAAAGATAGCTGGGGATGGTTCTTGCGTCTTGTCCGGATACATGTCATTGGCCCTGGTAGGGAAGTTGGTGTCATATCTGATAGACACTAGGGCATACTCAGTGCCGTACAGGAGCAGATTCTGGGGTATGCAGCTTTGCACCACCGTTGGTGCACTCATCACCTTGCCGAGAATTTACTTCATAAGGATGGTATGAAGGACAACTTTCCTCTATTCTAGGAAGTTGCTCGCATGCTTGAGGTGCCGTTCTTCGAGGCAAAGTTGGAGCAGCTTAAAACAGCAACAAATGGAGAAGGTAGGCAGTGGCTGAGAGGTTAGATGAGAGAACCTGAAAAATGGACAAGAGCCTACGACGATGGTGGATGGAGGTACGAGTTTCAGACTAGCAACATGGCCGAGTCATTTAATAGTGTTCTTAATGGTATACGTGACATGCCCGTTAATGCCATTGTATCATTCACCTTCTATTGGTTGGTTGCATGGTTTAATGAGAGACACGCTCAAGCAATGGCACTATAGAGGAATAATCAGGCATGGGCACCTAAACCTCTGAAGCATCTAGAGAAGGCAAAGGAAAGGGCTCTCACACATGATGCCGAATGTTTTGATCACAACATCGGCAAGTACTAGGTCACGGAAAGGGGTGGTACAATGTCCGATGGTGAGGTCCGACCATCAAGGAGTTATATTGTGGTACTTAGTAATTTTTCATGCAGATGTGGGAGAACCAGACAGTACCACTTTCCTTGTTCTCATTATGTTGCAGCATCTCAGCATCGCAACTTTGCCGATGAGACCAAGATACCGCGGGGGTTCAGTGTTGACAGCCTTGTACTTACTTGGTCTCCCCGTTTTGAGCCTTACCTAGATGAGGGGTAGTGGCCACCGTACACTAGTCCAAGGTACATTGCGGACCCAGGTACATGTTGGGACAAACGTGGAACCTGGAAGAGGATGAGACACAAGATGGTCATGGACCAGGTTTTCGGTAGAACGAGGCGAGGCAGAGCAACCCCCTTTCTTACTGACCCCGAACAGAACCAATGTGGCAAATGCGGGAGACTTGGGCATAATTCACGTACATGCCATTGGCCGCTTAGTCAGGTGCAAATAACAAATGAACCTCATTTATGAATTGCCGATGCTGTTCACTGTACTTCATTTTTAATTGTCCAATTTGAGAAGTATGTTTACTAGTATGGAAGAGTTCATTATTTCTTTACATTTAACTAATTTGGACTTTCTCAATTTTTTTTGTAGGATGGAGCCGTTCCACCTACTGGAGCCGTACTACAAGAAGCACCACCGAGGACGACTAACCGCGGAGGGGGAGGTAACTTATTAAGTCCTGCTTCTTTATTTTTTGCACTGCATATGTATTTGTGTTCACGCATTAATCTAATAAATTCCATTGTTTATAGGAACTGCACCCTCTTTGTCCTCGAACCCATGATAGGTTCGAGGACATGTGGTACGACGATAGGTACACTCC